TAGCATATATAACTTTTGACATATGCGAAATAATAATATTTTACAGACTGATTGTATGATCAGTTATTATATTATTACACAGAAATCTATAGCTCAGCAAATTCTTCTGAGCTAAAAAGGTCAGATCACCATTCCAGTTGATGATTAATATTCTGAATACAAGATTTCTGCATTTAATATATCTTGACTTATTATAGCAATCATAACAAATAATATTAATAATAATTCTAATCAAAGCATAATACTATATCCTTTGAAGTATAATAATTAGCTACAAAAAAATGCCTAGAGATAATGATAAACTGATTAATCAGCACCCATTTCTAGCAAACACTTATTTAATATATTACTTCTTAGATATCTGACAGTGTTGAAGTATCTTCACAATTTATTATCATTTATGTAATATCATCATAGACTAGAAATTTATTTTCCATCTTCTCTATTATATTAAATTTAACTATTTCTTTTTCCTGCCTATTCAGTATTCTATTATGAAGTATATACTTTTTAATCTCTATCTGAGCTTCACATATTTCAAGTCTCTTCTCAGAATAAAATTCTAATATATTAGTATATAAACGTCTTTATGCATTATAATTATAAAGATGCTTTTCACATTAGAAGTTATATAGAATTCACTTAAACTAAGTTTAATTAAATGCTTTTTTAATTATTGCAGAATTTTATTATTAGTTTTAACAGTTTAAAAAATTTTATAAAAAAATTTTTATTAGACATTTTTATAATAAATAAACAATAGATATTATATAATCCAGTAAATATTTTATGCTTCTGATATGTATCATCTAAATATCAATATTAGTCAAAAATTTATAGTATTACTATTATTATTATCATGTATTTAATTATTATTTATAGTTTTTTTATACAATGTATAATAATTATTCTATTCTTTTTGTCAAAAATTATTTTTCTTCATTTTTTTACTTACATTTTAAATATATTTAAAAAATATAAATTAATCAAGAAAACGTTATTAATTGAATTAATTAATTCTATTAAAAAGAACAAATTATCAACAATATATGAATAATTTATTATTCCTATAGGTAAAATATTCAAGCTTACTCTTGTGTTCTAATACAAATGATAGTATAAAAACTTGGATAAACCTTTTTAATGCTTATAAAAAAATAGCAAATTTCTTTTAAAAATTTTCTAAAAAAAACAAAACACTATATTAGAAAATACATCTGAAAATCAAAGTATCATAATATGCTGTATTATTTTTTTACTTCTAATCTAAAAAATTACATAACTGCTTTTCAATTATTTTAATAATAATAACATTCATTTAAAATAAAAGAAGATTTAAACATAACAAATGTTTCGTCAAAAATTTTACAAATTAATATAAAAATGCTATATTCAAAATTGCAATAATGTTAAAGTAAAGTTATTATTAAAGTATTAAAATAGTAATAATTTAAATTTATATATCTATAATAAACAAAATAATTTAAGTTTATAAAAAGTTTATTACTGTAAAAAAAACAGTCTAAAAATTTTTTGGAGAAAAACTTTTATTTTTATCATTAGAGAAATTATGATATTCTATATCACAAATCACACTTAGTGTGATGGGCTATAAGGATAATAATAATATGATATAAAATAAAAGATTAATTTTTTTTTTTAAAAAAAGAGGAATATAAGAAGAAAATAAATATTTTAATCAGATCTAATATTTTTAAGTTTATTATATTGATTGGTATTTATAATATATTACATTATAATAAATTACCAGATTTTATAAATTTTACTTAGTAATATATAATAAAATTAAAGATTTTTAAATTGTATAAAATTTATTAATTTTAATAAAATTCACTTTAAATTTTTTTATTTAATAACCAATCAATTATAATTTTAAAAATATAATTAAAAAATATTTTATTTATAAATACTGAAAAATTACTCATTTGTAAAGTAATAAACAATACAATTTTATATATAAAAATGCAAAAAAAAACATATAAAAAAATTGTTATTTATACTTTAATATGAGAAAATTTTTCATGTTTTAAAAAATTTCTTTTTTTTATTATAATATCTAAAAATTATAATTGATCAGCTATCAAATAAAAAAAAATCAGATAACTTTTATTGAAAATTTGTAAACTTTTATGCAACATAAAAATCTTTAATTTTACTATATATTACTAAGTAAAATTTATAAAATCCAGTAATTTATTGTAGTGTAGTATATATATTTTATCTTTGTGTAATCTAATTAAAAAAAAAAGACTGAAAGAAAATGAACAAATTTGATAAATCACTTTTATCTACTTTTTTAATAAGTATAGTATAGAATTTCAGGAATACTAATTTGAAAATTTCATATAATAAAAAAGGAGTTGTGCATGCTTAACTAATAGTATTATGATAATACTATTAAAAAATTTTTTATTTATAATGCCATTAAACTATTAATTACTGTTAAAATGAATTAGTGTAAATTTATTTATTTATATAAGATGATAATAATAATAAGAAAAAATTTGATTTAAAAAGGTTAAAAAAAATTTTTTTTATGAAATTTCAAAGGTGATATCACTATGACAAGTCTTTTTTTTATAGACAATTACTATAGATGCTTGCTGAAACCTCCTCAAAATAATTTCATTATACCCTTTTCTATGTTTTTAATATAGTTTTAACAGTTTCAGCTTTCGTCATATCAAATGGATTTTATCATATCCCTTATTATTTTAATATAGTTTCGTCTAAGTTTTGACTGTTATTAAAGGGTTTTATCCCTCATCTATAATAATTACATAATGAATTTTATTGTATGATTATATGTACATACTGTATATATTATATATATTTTTATAAATAATAAGCTACACTTTTTATCTTCAGCTTATTATAAAAAAATTATTTATATATAGTATATTAGTTTCAATCTTTATACAGTATAAAAACTTACTGAAAAGAAAATTTTTAACTTATAATATTACTATTTTTTTTTCAAATTAGAATATGAAACAAAAAAATCCTTCACATAATTTTTTACAAAATAACCTTAATTTTTAAAGATCTAATTTTACTGGATTTAATAGTATTAATAATCTACAAGTGAAAAATTTTTCTTCAAATAACAACAATTTCTATTTATCAACTGTTATCCAAAACCTTTAAGTGGAAGATTTTTCTTCAAATAATAATATGTTTTATTCACAAACTGTCATTCAAAATTCTCAAATGAAAAATATTCTATCAAATTTTTATTATAAAAATTCTACTGATTTTCCTGTGATTGATAATACTTTTCTAGTACTTTACAAAGATAACATGTTTAGCTCTAATATTTCAACTCTATTGTATAAATAGCAGTATATTGATTCTACTAATGAGGAACAAACACCACTATTGAACACTAATAATATCTTTTTATTTAAGCATACCTGACATTTGCATGATTGGCCATTATACAGAATTGTATAACTTGGTTTTTTATATTATTTAAAGTAAGGTAAATATTTCATTATCTTATTTTTTTTTTATATAACACTAAAAAAAAATTTTTGATTACATTTCTAGAAGTCTATTATAGCACTTTTTCAAAACTAATCCTGTTAATTATACAGTTTTCAACAAATACATTTAGCAATTCTAAAGGCTATAATGAAAACTCAAACTAGAAGAAACTTTTTAGACCATGTGTTATTTTTGAGATAGAAGAGAATGAAACAAAGTTTTAGAGATTTACAAAGAAAGCTAAATGAAAAACTTTGCAACATAAAACTCAGATCCTACTTGGCAATTAGGCAGTACTTAATTTTGTTATAATCTATATGAGCTGTATTATAAATAGAACATATTCTAAGAATTTTAAGGATACTGTTACTTTAAAATGATGCTGAGAATTTGATCAGATACAAGACGAACTGATAATAAAAAGAATTGATTCTGATTATAATAAACTTAGGTTAACAATGAAAGGAATTGAACCTAATAATTCAAAAATAAATATTAATGGATTTAAAAATAAATTAACATCAGAGGTAAGTAAAATTTGTAAGATTAATTTTATTGAAAGTATTAGATCAATAGCATAGATTTTAAATATAAGAGAAAAAAAAGAAAATATATTACCAATTTATGATTGAAAATTATTCAGGAAGGATATAAAATCAAAAGATACTAATTTTATATTATTCTTTAACATGCTTGAGAAATTAATCAATCTAAGTAGTAGGGACCTTTTGGATTATACTATCTCACAAAGGCAGAAAAGACTCTCTTTTTTATGTTATTTTCTTACTAAAATTAGAAATAAGCATATTAGTACATTAAAAAAAGATATTGTGATATTTTTAGATCATTTAGATACATCTAATCGAACTATTGATACTTTATCTAATATGTAATTAAGTTTTACATTAAGAAAAAATCAATGTGAGAAGAATGTTATATCCTCAATTCATGGGATAATATTATAAAAGAACTCTTAAAATATCAGACAAATATAATAGTTGCAAACATTGATGATTATCATAATATTCATAGATTAAGAATACCAACAACAACAACTACCAGTATTATTACACATATGACTACTATCTTTGCTATTTTTATACCTATAGCAAGTGCAATTTCAAAGAATATTGCATACAATATAAATATAAATCAAAACTATATACATAATCTATTACTTATTAATGTCAATTCTTTAATTTCTTAAATAGAGAATCATTATATGACTTTTCTTTCTCAATCTTTTAATGATCAGTTTGCTAAACAATTTACTCTTTCTGAAGAGGATTTACTTAACAATCTAACAGTTCATTATTATGATACTAATATTCATGAAAAACGAAAAGATCAATAACTTAGTGATACTATATTAATTGATTTTATTAAGCTTAATTTACATTCAATAGAATAGAGGTATGCTCTGGTAAAATCTGTTCAATTCATCATCTGATCTAATCAAAAACTGGATCATTCAGATTATGAATAAACAGATCATGAATAATCCAAATGTGATCTTTGAATAACATCAAATTGATCGAATATTATACGGATGATCAGATTGATTAGATAATCTGGTTATTTTATTTTATTTTATTTTTTTTTAAAAAAAAACCCTTCTTTTTTCTTTAGAATTGAACATGAATTTGGACTTGGATTTCAGAATTTAGAATTAAAAGATATGTTGGAATAGAGGGTAAATTCAATTTTTTTTTGGAATGTTACTAATATTTCTTTCTTTCTTTTCTTTAGGAAACGCCTTTTTGGACCTGGATTTCAGCTTAGGTTATAAAAGTAAGTTAAATGTGAGTTTTTTTTTGTTTTTCTTTGTCTTTCTTTATCTTTAGAATGCTATTAACATTTCTTTTGCTTCTTTTCTTTAGGAAACCTGGATTTTAGCTTGAACTATAAAGGTAAGTAGTGTGGAAATATTGTTTTTATTTCTTCTTTATCTTTAGAATGTCATTAACATTCCTTTTACTTTTTTTCTTTAGAGACGCCTTCCTGGATCTGGATTTTGGCTTGGACTATGAAGGTAAGTGGTGTGAGAGTATTGTTTTTGTTTCTTTTTTGTCTTTGAAATGCCATTAATGTTTCTTTTATTTCTTTTTTTTAGGAAACACCTTCCTAAACCTGGATTTTAGCTTGAATTATGAAGGTAAGGTGGTGTGAGAAGATTGTTTTTGTTTCTTTATCTTTGAAATGCCATTAGCGTTCCTTTTGCTTCTTTTTTGTGAGATTTTTATTTTTCTTTGTCTTTAAAACGCTATTAATGTTTCTTTTGCTTCTTTTTTTAGGGGACGCTACCTAGATCTGAATTTTGACTTAGGTCATAAAGGTAAATTATAGTGGGTTTTTTATTTTCTTTTTTGTTTTTAGAATATCATTACCAGTTCTTTTGCTTATTTTCTTTAAGGAATGCCTTTCTAGACCTGAATTTTGACTTGGACTATGAAAGATAAGTTGGAAGGGTGTTTTTTTCATTTTTTATTTATTTTTCTTTAAAAATTATTTACATTTCTTTTTTTTTTTTCTTTAAGATACTTTCCTAAATCTGAATTTTAGAATTTTGGAAAGGAAAATTTTTATTTATTTATTTTTTATTTAGAACTTTTGCTTCTTTTTTAAAAAATAGAAATCTTTAAAATTATGAGTTTAGGTTTACAATAAGTTTTATAATATTTTAATAAAATAATAAGTTATTTATAGAAAATTTCTTAGTTTACATAAGGTGTGTAAATCCAGATCGCCAAATACGTGACTGTTACATTTATATTATTTTTGTTAACATCATCAAATACGTGACTGTTACATTTTATTGAGTCTTATCTTATTACAGTATTACACAAGTTCGTGATTATAATAGCAAAATAAATCACATTATTTTTGTTAATTTGCTTCTTTCTCACTTTTATTTTTTCACACTTTTAATCCTACAAAATGTCTGATGAAAATCATGAAAATATCTTTTTTTGATAATCAAAATGCTAATACTTCTTCGACTTCATTTCATCACATAATATATTTTACTTTTTCATTCTGTATCACTTGCTAACTTATTGAAATTTAGTAGACGGCTAATCAAACGTGTTTTTTAATAGGATTCTGAGTCAAACTTGGCAATATTTAAAGATGCTTCATACGATGATGAAAATAGACCAAATGAACTATCAGAATTTTTGAAATTGATCCCTGGACTTACCTTTACTAGCTAGGATGAATTCAAGAATTGGATCAATAGATTTGTATTAAAAGAGAGTTTTGATTATAAAATTAGAATAAGTGAAAAGGTTCAAGGTATGGTACGAAGAGCTGTTTACGAATGTATCAAGTTCAGCTCACATATTTCACAGGTTACTTCAGATCTGACCAAGTGATATAATGCTTATTCATTACGAACACTGTATCCTTAGAAACTAAATGTCACGTATCTAAAAATAAGTGATATTGTAAAAATTAATTCATTTAATAACGAACATAATCACCTTTTACATTAATGATTTGTGAAATATCACTACAGTTTTATAAGTTAATGTCTAAAATATTGCCAGATATAGAAAAATATGTTATTCAAGGGTAGATGGATTTGGGATCTATCTATCCTTTGCTTAGACATGATTATCCAAATTATCTTATTTATAAGAAGGACTTATATAACACGATTTATCAATTTTGTTAGAAAAACAATCCAGAAGATGCAGATGCTTCTCAGATACTTCAGCTATTACTAGAATGGAAGGATTTAGAACCACTCTGAATTGTAAAGCCTTGATTGGAACCTGTCTCAAGAAAACTAACCTCCCTTTTATGGATGTTTCCCATACAAAGAGAGTTATATAGCAAGTTCAATGATGTTTTAATAGTTGATTTTACTTATAACACCAACCAATTCTGGATGATGCTTTGTATTATAACTGTAATTGATAATAACTACAAGACTAGGATTGTGGCATATGCTATAATTAAAGATGAAATACTAGATACCTATCAATAGATATTTAACACCATACTTACTGAAACTAGCATCTCTTCTGGAATCATCTTTACTGACTCAGATCCTTCTATGATTCGATCGATTAAGGATATTTATTCTGATATCTGACACTTATTATGCATTTTCCATATTGATTTAAACCTTCAGAAAAAACTCAAAGGAAAACTGGGCAATTATTTTGAGAAATTTCGTCATAAGTTTTATGTATATAAGAATTCTTTATGTGAGAAACTGTTTGAGCTTCGATGGAATCAGTTGATTGATAAATATTCAATAGCAGTAAAATATCTGTCTGATATACTTTATGTTAATAAAGAATCATAAGCAATACCTTGAATACATAAATGGTTTACTACTAGGATACAGAATACACAGAAAATCAAATTAATCAACAAACATGTATATGATAAAGTTGATCGAGCTATATCATTATATAATCTATTACTTAGTATCAAGGATTATATTAGAAATGAAAAACATCTTGAAAGATTTGAATCTGAATGAAATGCTTTACCTAAAATCAGCATGCTAATGTTGAATACAAGGTTCTTCGATTAAGTAGATGATATTATTAAAACTTTTTTAACATATAGGACCTTTGCAATAGAAAGGGAAAAAACTGCCAGAAAAAATCAATTTTACTTTTATATGCTAAATATGATTTTTAAGTTAAAATATGTTCAGATTTAGCATTAACTCAATTTTTATTTTTTCTAGCCGTTTCTCCCTTTTCTATTGCAAAGGTTCTATATGTGATACTTGGAAAATAAAGATCACAAATGAACCAATCTATATATTATGATATTAATCGAATCACAGAATAGCAGCATTTGATAGATGTAAGTTACCTTCAGAGGTAAAGCATGAAGTTATTTTGATCTTACAACTATGATTCATATTTTTATTTTTTATAGACGAAAATTGATAATGAAGAAATGAGCGTTGGAATTAGAGAATAAGAACAGAATACATGACAAATTCTTTTTTGATCATTAGCTAGAATCATACCACTAGAAGCTATTCTAGAAGTATAGCATGTATGAGCAACTGAAACCTAAAGAATAAGTTATTATGTAATTCTACTTAATGAAGAAACATATATATGTACCTGCCTTCTCTTAATCAATAAAGAATTGATATATCAATACTTCTTTCATGTTAGCACTTACTCTCAAAATGCCACCTTTCATATAAGCATAATTCTGAGTTGATAGTACTTGAATACTAATATTCAACTGGATGATCTTTTGCAAAAATATCCTTCCATTCTGGTATATGATACAACGCAATTAGATAGTTTTGAATTCAACTTCTATCATTTTTTTTCGATTTGATTTGATTCACTTAGTTTTCAATCATCTCAAAAATCAACCAAAACCATCTATGTAGAATTATTTGGATTATCAAAGAAGGTTATCGACTATGCTTTTAAGGCTGATATATGACATGAGTTATTGAACATACTAAAGACTTTTATTTATGATGCACAAAACAAAATGAACAATCAAGAAACAGAAACAGAAACTTTTTTTAATATTAATAATCCTGCTATTATCAAACATAAAGGAAGACCTCTAAAAAGGTTCAAATCAAATGCTGAAAGTCTGTATCTAAGCAGGAAAAGCAAGTTTTAAGAGATAGTATTAACATTATAGAAGAAGAGACAAATGAGATAAATAGTACAATAGGCTAAAAATGTGGGAAGTATAAGCAATACGAATATTATGCAAAGACGTGTCAAAATGTAGTTTAATTAATTCTGAGCATATATGTATAGCATATATGTATGTAAATATCATAATTGTATGTATGCATTTTATTTTTTGTAATAAATCTATCCAGTTTAAAGTCACGTGATATTATTTAGTTAAAAATTCAGATTTTATAAATCACGTGATATAATTTATAAATTACATGATACAGGTTTATATATGCGTGTATAAATAGCAATTGCTTTTTTTTTTAATTATAATTAAAATATAAAGATTATAATTTGCTTAATAGTTAAAATTTTGCAAATAATTAATAAATATTAAATATACTACCTGAAAATAAGTTTACGCGGTTTTGAAAAAATAGTAAATAAATTTGTGCAGTTTTGAAAAAATAGTTTATTATTATTTTTTTTAATAAAATATTAATACCTAGTTAGCTAACCATTATTGGCAATACATGCTTCTATTCTTTGAGACATACTATCAATTAATTTTAGGTAAGTTTCTTACAGAATTTTTTTCCATTCTTCTTTTAGTTATACTTCTAAATCTGCAGGTTTTTAGACAAATCTGAATGGTTACACAACAAATATTCAAGATGATCCCAAAGATGCTTAATGTAATTCAAATCTGGAGATTGAGTAGGCTAGTTAATTAACATTTTAATTTTTTTTTAGCAACCCATACTTTAACATCATTAGCTGTATGAATAGATGTATTATCGTACTGAAATTTGTAAGATCAATTACAAAACTTTGAATCAATAAATGGTAACAGATTATTATCTAAGATTTTTATATAATTATACTGATTGATTATTCCTTCTATTTTCACTAAAGGACCCAATTCTTTGCTTGAAAAATATCCCTAAACTATAACTCTACCATCATTATATTTAATGGATGGATTCAGATTTTTAATATTAAAATGAGTATCTGGTTCACGCTAAATTCAAGAAAGACCATCATTATGAAAAAAGTAAACTTTGATTTGTCGCTCTATATGACATTTCTCCATTGTTGTACTGTCTAATTTTGTCTTTCTAAGTAATATTTTAGCCATTTTTGGCGTTAATTTTCATTTAAAAATGGTTTTTTTGCAGCTCGATAAAAATTATATCCAATTTAATGCAAATTCTTCTGAATTGTTTTGGTACAAATATCTTGACCAGTTGTTGCTGAAAATTTCTTTTATATTATATCAACTAAAGCTTTATTATTTTTTATAACAATTTTTTTTAAAATTTTGCAATCTTTATCATCAAGTAATAGAGGTCGACCACTTCTTTTTTTACTTAACATGTTATTTGAATCTCTATATCATTGAATTATTATTCTAACTGTGTACTCTGATCAATTCATAATTTTAACAATATCGGACTTTCTGTGGTCATTTTTATATAATCTGATTATTTGTGCTCATTCAATAACAGTAAATTCAGAATTTTTACCCATTTTGTTAAAAATAAGTTGTTAGATTGATTATCATTACGTTATATTTATTTATGTTTATAATTATTTTTATTTTGTATATGTTACAATAACAAACAGTTATATAAACAAGAATCAAAGTATCAAAATCAATTGATTTTATTATATACAATTTTAAATAAAATTCAAAAAACTAACTGTGCAAACTTATTTTCAGGTAGTGTATCATTATTAAATGTAAATAATTTATCAATTATTTTATTGATTTTAATGATACTTTATAATAATATCTTATAATTTATACAAAAAATATATTTAAAAAAATAAAGTATGATAAAAATAATTTTTAATATTAAATTGTACCTAAATATTTCTGTTAAATACCTAATTTATTTAAAATCATAAATTACAATAATCAATTGTAATCAGAATTTTATAAAATTTTAGAATAAATGCAATTCAACTTAATAATTAACTTTATTTAATAATAAAAGACAAATTAATTATTAAATAAAAACTTTATTTAGAAATATATTTCTATATTTATTATTGTAATTTACAGTTATCTACTAATTTTTCTAGGTAATATATATATAATAATTATTAATTTATTATATATATAAGATATTATATCATATACTTTACTAAAAATCTATAATAGATCAGGTTTAATGCAAGAATCTGATCAAATATTAATATATTAAATTAAGCATTTTTTTTACAGATTTTTTTTAAAAAATGCTTATTTTTAGATAATATAAAAATTAAAGATACTTATTTTTAGAAATATATAATAATTCTTTTTTTTTTAAAAAAAAAAATTAAAATAAAAAAAATTCAGTTTTTTAATAATTTTTATTTTGATCTTTATTTTGATTCAATAAAGATCTTTGTATAATAAAAAATAATTAATAAAAAGCTTACTTTTTTAATATTCTATTTATCTTAATAAAAAATTAAAATTTTATTTTTATAATTTTTTTAAAATAATAATATGTATATTTAATATATATATAGAAAGGTATAAAAGTTAATTTAAATATATATTATAAGTATTGATTATAGGATTCTATACT